TGGCCTCCAAGTGCCTGTTTCCTCATCCAACTCTTGATGACTTGCAACATCATCGCCGCAAGAGGTCTCATTTTCCGTGACACCACCTGATCTGGTAAAAGAGGCACTGCGGGATCCTTCAACCCCAGCAGGAAAAGGTCTCTCGATTGGAGACTCCGGCGTGTAGTCACCATCGGTGATCAAGCCGTTGGGAACGTCGTTGATTGGGCTCTCTACCATCATCGCCAGCTCATTGAAGTTCTGCGCAGCAAGGGTCTCAGTGGCATAGTGTCCAAGACGGTGCATTGCGTCTCGGTTGATGTTGCCCTCCACAGTGGACATCACAGCAGCATCCAGTGTCTCAGATGGCCCAGTAGCAGGCCCAGAGGCAGATCGGACAGAGGTCTCTGATCTTGTTCTCTTGTTTCTTCCAGGGCCATCACCATCATCAAGATGAGGACCATCGCCAGGTTCTTCAGGACCATCTCGATCTCCATCACCTCCATCTCGTTCAGGGCCTCCTCGGTCTCCATGATCAGGTCGGTCATGAGGAGGTCGGATCAGTGAGGACAATCTCACTGAAGGCTGAAACAGTGAAAGTGCTAAATGGCCACTGCGCAGGCTTGTCAGTGGACTGGCTCTCCATTCACCTCGTTGGTTTCGATGGGCCATGTACTCCCCCTTGTATGCGATCAAGGCTTGTCGATGTCGTAGGTCACGTGCTCCAAGGAGAAGAGGAGTGTTCTCTGCCGAGCCGTCCAGCAAGTAGAATGACACCTCACCAAGTGATGGGGTAGTCAAAGTGAGCTTTGAAACTGCTTGTTGAACTTGTCCATTGCCAAATCGGAACCGTGGCCGGTCTCGCAAGTTGATTTGGTAAGGAAAAGTTCCTTCATCCAGCATTCTCGCAGCACTTGCAACACCAGCTACTGACTCAGTTGCCCCCGTGTCGAGGACAGTCCTTGAGGCTCCAATTGACTGAAGTTCATCGCAGTCATGGGTGGAGAGAACATGAATCTCACCCGTGGGCACGTAGAAGCCGTAGTTGTCATACGCAGTGAAGTAGGCCCTTCCCTTCGAGTTTGAAGGAGAACCCTTTGGTGAACCTTTTGGTGATCCCTTGTTGCGGGAAAAACGGTCAGGGCACATCATGTAGGTGTGGCCGGAACGCCCACAAATGAAGCAGGGTCCCATCTTGCCCTTCATCTTTCCTTTACCTTTTCCTTTCACCATCTTACCCTTTGACTTCCCTTTTCCCACAGGGCCACCTTTCATGCCACCAGCATCGTAGTAGCCACGGGCACGAACTTGAGCAACAGCTTTTCTGGCTTCTGTCAAGGTCTTGTTGGCCTCCTGCGCAATGGTGTAGGCTTCTGCAAATCGTACTTCTTCAGGTGAATCAGCTTGAACTCCACCAGCATCTGAAGCCATAGCACCATCAGTTGCAGACGTAGTTGAAGTCCCCGTCATAGTTGGTGACTCAGGCCACCATCCATCATCCCAGTTGCTCCAGGACTCATCGCTCCAGGCATCTTCATGCCACCCATCAGCCGTCCAGTAGGCTTCCTCCTCATCAAACCAATCTTCTTGTCCATCATCTTCCCATTGAGCTTCTTGCCAATCCTCGTTGAACCAAACTGTGCGCTTGGGGCCACCACGAAGATCTGTATCGACCTCGCCATCAGCTGCAAAGAGGCTCCTCAGCGCACGTCTCACCTGGAAGTACCGGGTGCTGTTGCCGGTCATGGTGAGCACATGCTGTCTTTCAGATGAAGACAACCTCGATGACTTCAGAAGTCGATATCCCCGCAGCTCGTCCTCGAAGTAGCCATGTGTAGGGCTCGAAGACGTCTCATCCGAAGTAGGTCTCGTCGATGATGTAGTCCCAGCAGCAGCAGCATCCGCCGTTGGCGGTGGTCCAGCCGTAGGTGACTGGCTTGGAGAAGCTCCCATGTGGGGAATGTCCCCAGTCGCAGCAGGTCGATCTGGAGGAGGTAGTCCTTCACGTTCATGTCTGGCACGCTTCAGGGCTTGTTGAAGATCTACAAAGAGCTCTTCTTCTCGTACAAGTAGTTGCGCTATTGTTTCATTTGGTGTCCTGCGCAAACTCGACCATCGTTCAAGTCGTTGGAAGGAGTCTGGAACTGGAAGACGTTGTAGTGGTGAACTTCTCAACACCTCCAGCAACCGGTTGAGGCCATTCTCCCTACCAAACTCAGTTGGGTCCAAGTGCCGGACAACTGATTTGGCACTGCCTGACAGTCTTTGCCATATCTTCGGCGCCGCAAGCTTCTTCTCGGTGTCCTTCAAGCTGGCTTCGTACCACCTGCAGCTGGTGACGAAGCTCTCGAAGTCACTTGGGTCGCCGCTCCATGTCGGCACGTCGTTGGTGTCCTGCGGCATGTAGTTCACCGCAGTCACCAGTGCCACCACCACGAGCCGCAAGGCCCTTGTCGCACCAGGAAGGCGCTCCGCTGACCATGCACTAGCTCACTCACAACGGGTCCCTACCTAACAGGGAAAAGTTGGACACCTAATGTCCTGCAGGCAAGCGCACGGCTGCCTTTTCCATCTATTGGCTCTCGAGCCCTCCCTGGGCAGCGGTCGTGACATGTATGGTCACCTGTACCACCTATGCTTGCAATAAACTAATAAGTATATTATATAACTATATATAACTTATTGGCAGTTCCGGCGCTGGCAACAGGCCTTTCTGATAAATAGATGCCTGTTGTATCTTTCCCCAACTGGTTTGAAGCATCCACAGATCTGCTGCTACGATCATGAATTTTTCGGTGGCCTGTCTTTCGAAGACTTCGGTTCAACATGTTTTTTCGGAGCGGAAGCATTTATACAGTCCAAGACATTACATATGACACAATTGTCCCGAGCACTACTGGGATTTGGCAGGTCCAGTGTCCAGCGACTACCCAACAGCAAATCTTTTTTGAATCTAATTCAGCAATGTTTTGGTTTTAATGTTTGCTTTTTTCTGGTCTTGGAATGTCACAACTCCATACACCCATTTCAAACAAAAATTGCTAAGGGGATGGTTCAAGGGCGCGGACACTGTGTGCATATTGGAATTTCTAGAGTCATGAATTGGAGAGGAGTTGAACATGATGAGCGAATCATCCAAGCCAGCTTTCCTTGAGATTCATGCTACAAAATCAGTTTAGCCAATGCTTTTATGAAGTGCCTCTACAGATCTGGGCTTTAGCTTTCCCACGGGGAAAGAGACTTTCTCTTGAAGGTTGGAAGCAGGTGTGCCAATTTGTTTAGCAAGTGTGCCCTAAGGGCATACAATGCCAATTGCACGCGATGGAAATTCATGCCTAAATTTCACCTTTTTGGTCAGTGGCTCTTCACTTTGGAGAAACAAAAAACGCCTACTTGGGTTAGCAAGCCCAAACATCTTGATGTTTTCCTGTCAAATGGACGAGGCTTATGTAGGGAAAATCAGTGCCATTTCCAGAACGGTTTCATTGAGGACCGTTCATACACGGACCCTGACCCGCTACCTGATTGCCTTGGTGGCGAATTGGTGGTGAAATATAACGCATATATATATAGTGTCGATTCACATCTAGTCATTAAAAAAAAATGGTTCCTACAGCCCAATGTTGCCCAACGACAGGCCCTCTTTGGTCAGATCAGTCCTGCATCTTTGGCACCGCAGCGGGTTGAAGAAAAAATTAACATGCATCGTTTATGCTGTACTGTGGATGGATTACTCAACTCCTGTGGTAGTAAGATGTTGCATTTGTGATGTGCTCTATGCATGTCGATCTGCTTGAGCCATGGCATGAAAAAGCTTGAAACCTCAGCGCCCTATTTCTGATCCCAAAACCGCACACAGTGGCGTAGTTGGCACTTTTTATAGGACACCTGGTTTTCCAGGTGGGGTGAAATCTTTTTTGGTGGTCATCGATAGTCCCCATTCACATTTTCGAAGGCGATTTGGTTGGGATTTTCGGCGCTGACCGATGACTATCACAGTGGCTCACGTTTCACCATACCCGGCGCTGGCGGTTGCACCAAGAAAACAAGCGCGAAGCTGCAAAGATAATCATCCAAGCAGGACACGTTAAAATGTGGCGTTGCATTTTGCAACGCCTGTGGCGGCTGATGGACCGAGGATGCTCTCGTGATCTGTTGCTTGCCATGATTCTCCCTGTGATTTGGCTGTGAGAATTGATATTTCTCTATATATAATTAAAAAAAACATGTGTACATAATTGTACATACACCAGCACCAGTACCTGCACTAATAAACTTCTGTGGAAGGAGGAACATAGCCAATGTACATGTCGATGTTGCCGGCATAAAGGATCACCCGTCCTACCTCTTCTCATTCTGGCATGAATTTGGACTGTCATACTAGGACTTGCTGGACTCCTGTCAGCACCGCGGGCCATCAGCCTAGATCCGATTTGACTTAAACAAGCGCGCAGCATGCGAGAAAGTGCATTTGACTTCTCAGCGATTGATTATGATCCCGCAACGGGCTAAATCATCATTTGCAAAAACTGAAAGTTAAGTACATCATCTGATTTGTCGAAAAACATCGAAAACGGTATGCAACAAACTACTGTTGCTATCTGTTGCTGGCACTTTGGTAAGGCATCCCAAACATCAAACATCATCAAACCATGAGCAGAACTGGGGCCAGGACCTGGAATCTGAATGCATCCAGCTGATTCCAGATCCAGGCCAAAGGTGAGATCATCTGAGATCACATTTTATGCGTCTGGACCAAAAAAACCTGTAAATAGCTGGAATCTGAGATCATGCAACAGTTCTTGATGTTTTTTAGAAATTTCTGCGATGTTCTACTGGTTTCAAGGGGGGGCAAAATTCTGTACTTCCAAGAAATTGGATTGTAAAAAGTCGAATTTGGGTACCCCAAGAAATTTTGTTTGGTTAAAATTCAAAGTGGAGTACCCCCCAAAATTGAATTCTTAAAACGAAACATGCCTCAACATTTGCGCTTTTTTGGGCCTTCTGGCCTTCTGATGGGATCACTTCGCCAAAGATTTGCTCCGCCGGTCACGTCCGCGCTCAGGGGGTGAGTAGCGAAAGACCTGGGCCCAGTTCCCCTTTGATTCTGGCACATCCCATATAAATCATATCAATGGAAATTTATAGCTGGCAAAATCACCTGTAAATGGTGGGATTTTCCGGCCATGTTTCATGCCACCGGAGGGTAATACCCCTGAGATCTTCGTTGGTAATGTGATCGGGGAAACTGGACACCCATAGCTCCGAACGCCCCAAGGGGGCTGCTTTGAAAGGGGCTGCTTAGTAAAATGGTTTCCTGGCTGTTTGTCAGCTGAAAAATGCTGAAAACTTGCCAGTTTCCTACAGTACTTACTTGTGCTGCAACAAGCTTCCCCCGTAGGCGGCCACCACATCGTTTTTTTTCCACATCGTTTGAAAGGTTAGAGAACCCATTCACAATAGAGAGAACCCAGAGATTGTCACTTTCTAAAGGTTGAGAAGTTTCTAAAGTTGCGAATCTGGCCTTACTCAGCCTAAAAGTGTTCACCTGCAATTTATGCCATAAAAAGGCGCAGGCTTCAAGTTTAAAGTAAATTCAAGTAGTTTAAACTAGACGACGGATGGCCTGAGAGCGTAGAGGAGCAGGGTCTTCTCTTGTTAGTATGGAGACACCATATTACAAAACAATATATTAAAGATGTGTTATAGGCAGTCGAGAAGAGGAGTATCAAGACAATATAGCGCAAGTACAAGACAATAGTTTGCATCGCAAACACTTTTACACACAGACGCTTTTACACACAAAAGCTTTTACACACAGAAGTTTTTACACACAGAAACTTTTACACACAGAAGCTTTTACACACAAAAGCTTTCACACACAGAAGCTTTTACATACAGGCGCTTTCACACACAGACCCTTTTACACACAGACGCTTGTACACAAGGACGGTTTTACACACAGACACTTTTACACACAGACGCTTTTACACAAACGCTTTTACACACAAAGTTTTTACCCACAGAAGCTTTTACAGACAGAAGCTTTTACACAGACGCTGCGACCCACGGACCCCATTTACATTTACACAGAAACACTTTTACACACAAACCCGTTTACACTCAAACACTTTTACACACAGAAGCTTTTACACACACACACAGACACACACACACACCCTTTCGCACACGAACGCTTTTACACACAGACCCTTTTACACACAGACAGAAACTTTTACACACAAACCCTTTTACACACAGACACTTTGACACAGAAACCCTTTGACACACAGAAGCTGCGACACACGGACCCCATTTACACACAGACCCTCTTACACACAAGCGCTTACACTCTTACACTCACACCCTTTTACATCCAACACCAGTTAAGTCGCAATTTTACCTCGGTTTTTGCACATCGAGCCTCGTTTCGTGCGAAAGGCCCCATTTACACACAGACCCTCTTACACACAAACGCTTACACTCTTACACTCACACCCTTTTACATCCAACACCAGTTAAATCGCAATTTTAACTCGGTTTTTGCACATCGAGCCTCGTTTCGTGCGAAAGGGTTGCTCCGGCACAAGTAAAATCGCAATTTTACCTCCGTTTTTGCGCATCCCTCATTTCGTGCGAAAGGGTTGCTCCAGGACAATTCCGGCACAAGTAAAATCGCAATTTTACATCAGTTTTTGCGCATGGACCCTCATTTCGTGCGAAAGGGTTGCTCCGGCACAAGTAAAATCACAATTTTTCCGCAATTTTTGACGATCGACCCTCATTTCGTGCGAAAGAGTTGCTCCAGCACAAGTAAAATCGCAATTTTACATCAGTTTTTGCGCATCGACCCTCGTTTCGTGCGAAAGGGTTGACGTTTCGTGACTCCCCGCCGGCACCACCCTCGGCCTAAAGAGAGAAAGATAAAGTAGGCGAGAGAGAGAAAAGGGAGAGAGAAAGGAGAGAGGAAAGAGGAGAGAGGAAAGAGGAGACAGAGAGAGAGAGAGAGAAAGAGAGAGAGAGAGAGAGCGAGCGAGAGAAGATGTGAGTATGTGAAGATGTGAAGATGTGAAGATGAGCAGATGTGAAGATGGGCAGGTGTGAAGATGTGAAGAAGATGTGAAGATGAGAAGATGTGAAGATAAGAAGATGTGAAGATGAGCAGATGTGAAGATGAGCAGATGTGAAGATGAGCAGATGTGAAGATGAGCAGATGTGAAGATGATAAGATGTGAAGATGATAAGATGTGAAGATGAGAAGATGGGATACAGACCCCCACTATTGGAAGAACCCTGCGCTCAGACGCTCTCGGGAAAAAGGGCGTTTTTTGTTATGTTTAGTTTTGGGTTGTCATGGTTCTGCAGTATTCTGTAGTATTTTGCAGGGTCCTGAAGATAGTTCGCAGGATGCTAACAGGGTGTCCTGCGAATTTGTCCAGGATTCCTGCTATCTTTCTGAACTACTGGCACTTGCTACCAAATTACTGCAAGGAACCCACAAATATCATATATGACTACATGACCAACTAAAAACCACGATGTAAGTCACGAAGACACAACACACTACACGTAGTAATTAAATAGCATTACAATGGAAAACCAACAGAATCCTGCAAAATGCAAAAAAATCAAAGGCATACTGCCAAAATCTACTAAGTGAAAAAACCTATGTCCAAGCATGCCCCTACAAAGGAGCCCCTTTGGTGCTTAAAAAACAGTATAAATATATATATAATTATATATATCATCAGGGGCGCACTAATCTGAAAGTACTGCTGGCTCAACTCAAAAACCAAAATACCCATATGATGGCACCGCGCGGTGAGGAAGAAAACGGTGCTATTTTGGCTGGAACATAAAACGGGTGGCGCCATCTATATCGGTGAGGAAAAAATAACCACAAAATTAACGCATATCGGATGACCAATTTACTTCAAAATGAACAGGTAGATAGCGTAATTGCCACCACAGTAGATGGACATAAGGGTATTGGTATAGTGTACTGAGTCTACTACATTTCCGATCATTTTTGCTTGTTTATACTGTGAATTACACATGATTTTATTGTATTGTAAATAAATAAATAAATATATATATATTACATATATGGGGGTGTCCTACAATGAGGGATAACCCCACCGCCCCAGTTCGGCACCTGCCAAATGATCGTTTCGCGTCGAAGGCTGGGGCTCTTCGCTAATTTGCCACTGCCATTGTTGGCTAACCAAAATCCCATACAGCAGATCCCGTTCAAATTCCACTAGTTCTTTTTATCCAAAAATGAGTTGCGCCATCTATGTCCTTTAAATCGCGTTCATTTTTTTCCCATTTTTTGGCTTGTTTACATTCTATACGCTAAATACTGTATATATATAATTATACACATATGGGGGTGTCTTAAAATGGGGGGCAACCCCACGGCCCCAGTTCGGCACCTGCCACGTGATCGCTTCGCATCGAACGCCTGGGGCCCTCCATTACTCTGCCACTGTTGGCTAGCAAAAATCCTAGTCCACTAAATTTGCCCAGGGATCTAAAAATGAATTACGCCATCAATGGCCCTTAAATCCCCTTCAAGTTCCACTAATTTTTGGGGCATATTTTTTCCTCAGGATGAAAGGAGATGCGCCATCTATGTGGCATATTTTGGTTATGTCGGTTGAGGGATGTTGGGAGGTATGAGGGGCTTGCGCCATCTATGTGGGCATTCCCGGCCTGATTTTGGCGAATGAGTAGGACTTGCGCCATCTACGTCCCCCAAAACCAGCTTGCTGTTGAGGAAAAAATAATCATTTTTAGGGACATACATGGCGCAAACTACCTGTTTGAAAATTGGGTTGCGCTATCTATCCCCTATATCTTACCCCCCATATATACCAATGAAAGCCTCGAAAACCTCAGGACAAGAAACGGTTGGTGCTTGAACCACCCCACGAGGAAAAAAAACATATTATAGTCATTGGGGATCATCATCGCGTTTCTATGTTTGAAAACATGTTGAAATCACCTATGGCAAGATCAGTTTACAACCTTATGTTTACAAGCTGGTGCCTTGACTTAAGTTGGACTTAGGGGCTTTATAAAAGGACTTAAGGAAGTTAACTTGAAATTATGTTAAGTTATGTTATAGGTTTTGTAAGTTAAGTTATATTTTTTGTATTTTTTCTCTAGTATGTACTATGTTTTTCAATCCCTCATGTGTGCCTGGCCAGTTGTGTTGTTTTTCCATTGCGTGTCTTTTCTGCGGCTTTTGACCTCGAAATGCGAACACGAACAAATTATGGTAAAAACATGACGATGTTGACTTTGGCAGTGGTCCATGCAGGCGCATGCATGTTTGTCATGCATGTGTATTCAAGAACATCTTTTTGTTTTTTGTTCTGGAAGGTTTTGAACCAGTCTTTCGCATTTTTTAGGAAACACAAAAAAACACATGTTTAACACATACGCGTTTACACATGCAATTGGTCTGAGACGTGGTTACACCATCGTGTTCCCTTCTATTTTCAATCTTTTCATGAGGATACACAAGTGCGTTCTCTTCTTTTTGCGGAAACACATCCCAAACATTTACATATTTCACCGTCATGTGATTGTAGGTGGAAATACATTTTTAATACATTCGAGTTTGCAATCTCTGTTTGGTTTATATGTTGGGAAACACATACGTATTTATGTACTACCTACATACAGTCGGGAAACACACGCGCGTATCTATGCTTTTATTGGCTAACGAAGAGGCGACACATGCGCGTTCCTTTGTTTTCTGGTCTGTTCTATTGGATATACTCACGCGTTTCCAGATGCAGCTTCTCTCATCCCTCCACACTAGGCCAGCCATTGTTTTCTCCCGGGAACACTGCGTCAGTGATATGTTCTGCAAGGCTGTATAAGGAAAAACCAGGCCTGTAGGCCACGAGACTCTGTTCCAGCTGTCAAAGTGTTCCAAACTTCTTGCGATAAAAAAGAACTGCAAGATTTGAAATCCTGCAATGTCGCTCTCTGTGCGACAGCGGTTCCTGGTTCTGCCATGCGTTCAAGGATTTAGCGCTTCACTTGGGCAAAAAAATGGCTACCATTAAAAACATCGTTCTAGACGACAAAAAACCGCTATCTTTGCTAACTTGTGTGCATCTGTTTTTGACGTATGTGCTATCTCATGTTATATATCCCCATCTATTGATATAAATTCAACATGACTTATACAAGATACCACCATTTTTAAATATACCTGAATCATGTTATAAAAAAAATAAATATACAACATACCAAATGATTTGGATGTCAAGGCACATCCTTGTAGGTTACTGATTTAAACATTCAGTTTTTCAGGGAGTGCTGGTCCGTGCTGGTGGCGAAAGAAACAGATTGTGCAATTGCAATCAACAAATGACATTGAAAGAGAAGGCGTTATAGCCACCCCTCTCCTGGTTTCATCCTGGCTTCCTCAAGATGGGAAGTTGTTTTTCACACGGTCACATTCTGTTATAGGAAAAGGTCTGACCATGATCATCGATGATGTATAATCATCTACCTTCTGGAAATTTAAGAGGTTGCCACAGAAAATGCAATTTTAAATCGGTAAATAATCTATAAACTGGCCAGGTCCTGCCTGCGGTCGCTCTCGCGGGAGCAAGGGCCTAAGGTGTGGCCAACTGGTGGCGCTTGGGTGGTTCCGTAACCAAATGAAAGAGTTTGAGTGTGCCATGTTCATGAGCAATAAATTCAACTAACCAAACAAGCAACATTAATTATATAGATTGTACAAATTTACACCCAAAACCTACCATCTGCAAATTTAACAGTTTGCTGCGGATGAACACATTTTTTGATAGGTAGTCATCCTCAATGGAACATTTCCCATAGCAAAGTATTACATTACTTTTAAAGGCTAACTATCATGTATCCATATACACCCCATGAAATCATAGTAAATCCAATTAAATCCCGTGAAATTTCATGAAACAAAATCCCGGTGTTGATGGTTCAAGTGAAATCCCCCAGTTCCTCTGAGCCTTCCAGCGTTGGAAACACTGCGTTGGGCGAGGGAATCTGCGAATTGGGTGCCGTGGCCAAGCCTCGTCAAGAGAACTGTTGATTTCAGTAAGAATTGCCTGCCCAGGATTTCATCAAAAGAACATGGGTACGGCAAAGGCAGTAAGGATTTCAGATCCAAACATCGAAGTTCACAAAGGAACATATGGGTAATTCACCAGCTACTGGATCTTTTAATTAGTAAGTTTCAATGGGTTATAGTAGTTGGATTGGACCCCATCGATTTACCTGCCATCTTGATAGGGGGTTCTGCAACATTTTCCTTGCACCACTTCGAGTTCATGGATGGGATGAACAAATGTGTCAACCTACGGTAGGAATGTGTTGATCGAAGGAAGTTTAGAAGTCAAACTTCCGACAATATCGGCAAATGAAAAGCAGAGATGGGAAGAGCCAGAGAAGAGAAGAGAAGAGAAGAGAAGAAGAAAGAAGATCAAAGAAGAGACAGTCAAAAGAAAGAAGATCCAGGTGCGCGAAAAGGTAGGAAAGTCCCGAAACACTGTGTTTTTCCAATGATTTGTGGCTCCGGAGGGTCGAAAAGTAGGCTCGCTAAAGCGGCGGGTGCGTAGCAATCTGGCCAGAGCGCGAAGCACATTTGGAAGTGAAAACGCTAAAAACACCTCACGTTCAGAACACTTTTGGAAGTTGAGATGTTGAAAAAGTGCACCCCGTTGTGGCGCGAAGCACATTTCCAAGTCAAATGTACGAACTACACAATGTTCGGACCACTTTTGAAAATTGAGATGTCGAAAAAGTGCACGCGGCTATGGCGCGAAGCACATTTCCAAGTCAAAATGTACAACGTACACCATGCTCGGACCACTTTTGGAAGTTGACATGTGGGAAAAGTGCACACCATTGTGGCGCGAAGCACATTTCGAAGTCAAAAGTGTAAAAAACTGAAGGGGTTCGGAGCACTTTTGGACGTTCGGATGTCGTTTTGCGTGGCGGGCACAGGGGGTTCTGCACCTTGCCAAAAGAGAGCAAAACGTATAGGTTTTGTATCAGTTTCAACTACAACCGCCGCTGCACTACACTCCACTCCACTAGGCGAATTACATTACACTCCATTGGGCTCCACTACGCCACACTACACTAACTACAACTACAACTACATTACACTACACTACACTAATTACATTACACTACGCTACAATACACTCCGCTATGCCACACTACTCGACACTAACTACAACATACTACAACTAGAATTACGTTACACTACACTACACCACACTACACTAACTACAACTACAACTACAACTACAACTACGCTACTTTACATTACACTACACTACACTAGACTACACTACACTGCCCTACATTACATTACACTACGCTCATTACACCACCAGAAACGCAACTGCAACTACACTGCACTAATTACACTACACTACAACTACAACTCCACTACACCACAACTACAACTACAGCTGCGCTACACCACACTACATCCAGCAGCTGTGGGTGAGGTGACCGACCAGGTGACCACTGCAACCATCGTAATCACGTCGTAATCATTCCAAAAAAGACAACTCCAACCAGCTTTCAGTCCATCAGTGGATTCGCTACGGCTGCGCAGCTCTGACCAAAGAACACACCACGAAAGCAGGTCGACCCCCCCTTTTTCGGCATTTTGACGTGTAGCACAATCAAGAATGAACTATATAATTGAATGACCAGGTATCTAGTCGACTTCCCACTTCATCCACTTCCCAATTCAAATAATTAAATGACATTTAAATGACTAGGTGACAGATGGTAACAGACTAGGTATATAGTTTACCCGTTTGCCCGTGAGCCACGGGCAAGTGCCTGTAGAAATGACCATCGGAACGATCTTCGCTCGACGTCCTAACGGGGAGCGACTGTCCAATCGGACAAAACCATTGCATCTTGGGGGACCTCCAACAGTACTTTAAAGTTCGGTTTAATGTATTTATGTAATTATAAATGACATTTTTTGGTTCAATGATGTTTTAAGATATTTTTAATGATGTCTCATAATGTATGTGATATTACGTGATGTCACCATTCCATGCATTTCAAACATGCAACATTTGTCTGGAAGCAAGCTGTCCAGTGATCCATTGATAAAATGTAGTGACAGTTTGAGCAACTGTACCGGCATGTGCTCGCAGCCTCATGCTTCTGATGTTTGGAAAATTTCAACTTGAATAGCCTCTGGTAATCTAAGAGTTTGCCATGGAAAATGACCTTTCTAGATCCATTTAGACCCATTTTGCCATGGAGATGTTCCACAGCAAACCAGAGGGATCCCTTTCGGGCGGTTTTTTTGTGCTTTTTCGTCCTCTTTTGCGTCGCTCCGGCGGAGCGGAGGATGCTCTTCGGGGTTGGACCTGGACCTGGGGTTGATCATTGTTGATCCACGGAGCTTGGGTCCATGGCCATAATCATTGGGTTGGTTTAAGGGAAAATCTACAGGAAACCATGGTTTTTACCATCAAATATAGGGCTTTCCTGTAAATTTTCCCATCATCCAATTCTATGACATAAAAGAAACTCGCTGAGCTTCCCACAGCAAGAGACAAAGGCGTGTCAGGAACCGACAGCCTCGAGGACCAGCAGCCGAGGTTTGCGGTTGACGGAACCAGCATCTTCCAACAATATTGGATCAGTTAGTGGTATATATCTCGGTATCATTCCATAATCTAACTGCCAACAACCACTGGGTTTGGGTGTTGATCAAATACCTTTAAGTATGCTGATCGCTAACAAGCCCTGTTTATTGGTTGCTCCAACTCCTGTGTCCGATATTGCTTGACGGTTGCTGTGTGGATGGCATCTGGTGAATCTGGTGCAAATTGACTCTTAGGCTACTTGGACAACCATCCCAAATGGCAAAAGTTTTGTTAATTACAATCAATTCGTTTGTATGATGTGGCTACCAATGGCTATGAAGCCCGTCTAGTACAGCCCAAGGGGACCGCACAATGAAGAAATCAACTACATCCCACCAGGGCTTTGACCCAACAATAGTATGTGAATGATGTGAATGTGTGAATGAATCTATTCAGTATCTAGCATCTCCACATAAAATCAACAAATATAAGTAATCCACAACAATCAACTCAATCATGGAGGGAGGGGATTCATTTTTTTTAGAAATCCTCCAAGTATGATTCAAGGTGCAAGGGAAGGCTTGGAAGCGACTCACGCCCAGCAGGCCTCAAGTGTGGCGCTGCAGATCATCTATCGAACATGGAGATGAGGATATGTTTCATTGCAAGGTTGAATACCAAAGGCTTTCGGTACCAGTAGCAAATGGTAACATTTTGTAACTTCTTCGCAGCAGTGCTTGGTGGCAAACATGTGGATCCAGAGTCCAAACACAAATTGCTCTGAGGAGGCTGCCGTACATCACCGTCGCACTCCACCTCGCGATGGAAAAGTGGGTGCTGTGATGCCGTACTCCTTGGATTTATTGAAGGGCAAATGTGGGAAATCGCCCCCTTTAGCATTCAAATCTGACGGTTTCCAAAAGAGTTTCACACTCTGAAACGCAAAAACATGATGCAAACTGGGCACATTGTTCGCAATTGATTCAATATGACAAGTGAGCCTTTTTCATCCTTTTTCTGGGCGATTTCCCCCATGGGGTCTGCACCAACGTTCGTTTTAGTACCTGCGGAACCCATCTGCACCACAGCCATGGCAGCTGAGTTTCCCCGCCATCAAGGGAGGTGGCCGCCTGGGATTTACCACCATTCTTTGAAAAGCTACCAGATTTTAGATTTTTTTAGGCATAGAATATATATTTACTGGATGGGTAGGATGCTACTTGATAGTCTTAGTCTTAACTTGGGAGTTGCTAGACTATACACTAACCAGGCCATTCAGTGACCTTTTTATCCCCTGGTTTGAGGACACAAAAACACCCTTACATGTGCACTTACCAAACCCCAAAGTTTGCTCAACTTGAACTGTCAGGCACATGGTGTTTTCAGTGGATTCCCTGCTTTGGTTCATCAGCTTATCCCCTTGTGATGCGGAACAATGCAGCCAGGTCTCAGCTTGACCACAGGCAGTTCGTCAGGGCCTTCAGGCTCCTTTGTACTTTGAGAGTCGGGACATGTCGGGACTGGATAATCTTCCTATCCTCAGTCAAATCAATCATTGATTAAGGGGGTTCCCCACCAGTACTGGTGACAATCTGCTCCGAAAATAGAACTTCCCACCAAAAATGATCAACAGCCCAGATAAATTCATCCGGGCTTCTTCTTTTCTTGTTATTGTCAGACATGTTACGGGTCATACTAGTACCCTCCAGGAAACTATAACATATAGATATAGAAATTCCAATGTTTATAGATGATTTACCTACTGAAGATTGTGATTTCCCATAGCTATATATAATATGAGTTTGCCAGAAAGATTTGGAAGAGATCCAACTCTTGGCGCCGAGTGTCCGGAACCTCTTCCAATGACGCTTCTGGCTCTTTCGCATCGCTGTCTCTGGCTTCCAAGTGATCTTCCTCCTTGTGATTGAGTCATCGCAGTTCCATCCGGCGCTAAAACTCAACGGTCGCTGCTGGGATCAAGTTCATCAAATTTACAACAATGGGCTAAAAACTGTGCTCAAACTGAAAGTTCAGGTGCCATGGGCCAGAGCTTCAGTATTTTTTTAGTAACAATTCCTCTAGATCGCTCGATCGAACCGGCCTTTCATGTCCACTCAGACCCGAAGTTCTCAAATTTTGACAGCGCATTTGTGGCCAATCTTGGATAGCCTGCATTTCTGTAGCTAAGTTCGCAAATATATCCTATTCATGGCAAGAGATTGAAGTAGTACTAAGTAGCAACAAATAACAAGTACCAAGCACATCCAAGTACATCCAAGTACCAAGATGTACCAAGGGAACTCACTTTCCGGCTGTCCTCGACGAGATCATCCAGCTGCTCAGTGGGATCCACCTGCGCTGCTTCCCCTGGGCATAGCGAAGCGGCCACATGGCCTCAGGTGTGGCAAGCAGATCCAACAGATCTTCAACGATCCAACAGCTACACTGGGCTTTGGTTTCTGCCAGGATGCAAAAATGCACAATTGTTTGATCTCGAAATCTGAAAAAGACAGGATCGGGGGCCATGTCTTTTGCCGGTGTCGGGTCATGGAAACCAAATCTGGCACTCCCAGCTTGCAGTCGCCCTAGTTCCGAAATGATCAACAAAACTGATATTAAACCATCCAAATTTGGAGGCAAATGATTTGACCAAAATGTCCTCCAACGTGCACTTGTAATGCCTTCCCTTAAGATAACATTATTTCCCTCACCCAATTCACCAAATATAGTGAACTTACCTTCTTTTCTCTCCAATGTTGAGCAAATGAGAATCCAATTCATTCAAATTATGAAGATTTATGAAGCCCTGGTTCACTTCTTCAAATCAATTCTAGATTTCAGGAAGTGTTTTCAAATTCTCCGAGTAAATTATCCAGAAACCCATCCCTTTGGTGCGCCACTCGCTGCGCCATCAGCGGCTTCACCGGAGGCACTACGCTGGCGCACTTTCCTGGGCCCCATTAAGAGTTATGCCATTTGGGGATGAGCTTCTGTATGGCTTTCAACACCCATTTATGGGAATATGATGGGAATATTGGGGATGGTTTATCGCTGGTTTACCACGAGTGCCAATTTGTATCAATTTCTCATTTCCTGGGCTTGGCCCAGGTATATATAACTTGGTGAGAACAGCATTTACATACATGTACTAGCAATTGGATGCAACTGGGCATTCGGAACATCGTCTTCTTATCTCGGAGATTAATGACTCGGGGGATGGATCGGACCATATTAGGACCATGGGATCAGTGGTTTGTGATCCATCACAAACAGGGCTCAACTGGGCATTCTCCAACAAAACTTCTGTGAACATGGGGGATCTTCAACATTTCATGTCTAAGGGAACATGATGATTCACCATATTAACCAGTGGAATCTATCAAATATTCCCCATTGCAAATGTCAGATTTGCATACGGGGCTTTCCAAAAAAAGGAATCTCCCCTTGAATCATCCCTTTTTTTGTGTCATGACTGAGTATTGAAACCGGTGACCTGGGGGTACCCCCATAGGAAACCTCGTGAAAGCTCGATATATTTTCCCCTGTTCAGCTAAGGTGCAATTCTTCATCTGCTTCCTGCAAGAAATCCTCCAAGGTTTTAAGCTTCACCAAGGGCGTAGCGCTGCCCACTGGAGAGGTGTCAACCCGGGAACGCACCACGGGGACGTGAGGCGCCTGAGGCGCCTGAGGTGCCTGGAAAAAGGCACCAGGGAAAGCTGGGGAAAGTGCTGAGGTGGAGCTTCTGCATATTGATTTGTGTGAAGTTTGATGTTGCCATTTGCAGCTGGTGATTTGGTTGATCAACCATGTTCAAACCATCCCGGCCCGAACCAATGAGCCCATCTTCACATCATGAAGGAATCACCCAAGGTTCATCCAGTACCATCATTTCATGCCGCCTCCAGGACCGGCTCAGGGGCAGGAATCAGCACAGTTGGGACCAAAGGTGGTTCCACCGGCTCCGCTGCCTGTGTTCCACCGGCTCCATCTTTCCCCTCTGCCTGGGATAGTGAGAGAGAGCGAAGTAGTGGGTGGTAGGTTGAAGTCCATGTGAGGGAGAAGTAGTTTGCTATATAGACAGAGCTTGTAGGTTCTTGGTGCAACATGGGGAAGCCCAAAAAGTGTGCATGAACCTGAATCAGCACCTAGAACCTCAAGAGCAGCCATGAAAATGGGTCAAACCATGAAAATCGGGAGAAATACCAGTTGCCAAAGGAGAGTAAAGGAGCTTGGATGATTTGCATCGGTGTTTTGAAGGTCCTAGTCCATCGTTTGCATCGTTTGCAGGCTCTTTCTCTATTTTTTCTATCCATTTATCTATCCACCTACCTATCCATCCATCCCTCCATCCCTCCATCCCTCCGTCCATCCATCTGCGATTCTATCTGCCTATCATATACTGTATTACCTACGCACCTTTCCACTTTTTTGGGAGACTGTGCCTCTGTGGGCGGTGGCAGTTTCTGCTCCGCAGGGCTGTCATCACCACCTAAGCACTGCGGGCACAGCAAAGGACATCCACAAATTGGGAAGGTCCCATGGTCCCATCGCTTACCACACGTTTGTACAATAATGATATATGGTAAACTTGGGGGCTATCGCTTGCCGGAAACTGCTACATTTTTATATATAGAATTCACAGAAATCAACGTCCAATTTGGGTATCGCTAATGTGGATATTGGAGAAATACAATGACATAACTTTGGCATAACCTTGAAAAGGGGTATCGCTAATTTGGGGAGGTCCCATCGCTTACCGTGTGTTTTTAACCATTTCCATCAATTTCCATAAGCCAATGTCCGTCCAATACATATTTAGTATTGCCGTTTGTTTTTGCGGTGGCTCTGAAAAATGGACTCAGGGTTAATGTGCTTTAAGGAGACCAACTATAGGTCTAGCTATTTAATGGCCTCCAATTCTGGGTTCCATCACTCAACACGTGTCTTTCAGGCCCAGCCACTCACAGTGGTACCACTTTGTCCTTGCCCAGAATCAGTCGCAAAGCTTTCCTTGGCGACGCACTGCGGGCTTTGATGCTGTTGAACAAAATGCCAGTAAATCTCAGGTAACATCCGACAAATGCCATTTGCATCCATTTGCTCAAAGCCTGAAGTCCGCTAACTTCATTTTTGGCCACACAATGCAGCGCCCGAAAAAACGCCCGCCACTTAAACTTTCTGTATTCATGCATTCATCAACAAATCATAGACCCAAAGAACTCATGGCAACAACAAAAACCCAAAAGATCTAAGGATCTTCCGCCTCATCCCACGCTGCGGGCACGCACTTCTGAAACTGCACCGCTCCGCTGCGCGCCGGCGCCAGCAGCGGCGCCTCCGGCGTCGCCGGGGTGGCGGGGAAGCTGCCGGAGGCGCTGAGGTCCGACTCCGTGAGGATTGTGGCGGGTCTGGCCTACCGGCCCAGGATCCCAGGGCTGAGATGGGTAGAATTTAGATGAAGATATGCCCATGGATCATCCATCTACAGAAAAACACATATTTAATTAACTTGTTTTTAAATTTATATAAAGTTATAAAGTATTAAACTATCCAAAGGTTTCCTCAGGAATGAATCTCTTTGTGGGTCAGCCCTCAAAATCATTTCCTGGGGTTCCGTGTGGTGCAATGGATATATAACTATGTGACTAATTGACCATATACTGTAGACACATTGTATTCATTGATGATTAACTCTGCTGCATCCTTCTTGTTTCTAAGCTGAAGATTGTCTGGAAGATCTGCCCATACCTCTCAACGCTCCAGCAGTCTGGCTTCGACGCCACACATCGTGGTGAATTTCACCCGTTGCGCAGACATGATTCATGTAGTCATGGCAGTGCGCCTGTATCCACTGCCTTTCGGTGGGAACCTCAATGACCTTGGCCAACAGGAAAACATATATCGGGCTGAATCTGAATCAACAGAATTCACCTGGGAAAAACTGAAAAAAGGTGATCTTGGGGTGATTCCCCTTAGTGACCATCATTGGAGATGTTGGCACATGAGGTCATTGTCATCAAATTCATTATTCTCGCATTGTACGGCCACCTTTTGGTGGTTCAGTTCGGTTACAACCATATTTCACCACTATTCATGCTGTTCAAGCATATCCGAAAACACCTTGTGCTCAGCTCGCCAAAAAAAAATCATGTTTAACTAACCATGTTGGACCACAATTTATTTCCAAAAGTTGTATTTAACATTGATTAACATTGTTTAAACATGGTTACTATTGTTTTATATTGTTGGCATTACCGTGTAATTCTTAAGTAATATTTTTTGTTTAATATATTTTAATATTGTAATATGATAATTCTTTATCACCAACAAATTTCACAATCATCACGTTCAGGTTGCCCTTCCTGGGCTCTACCCTCGGCCCGGCGACGGCGCGAGACGGCAGCGATGCTTCCCGTGCTGCGACCGCTGGAGACGGCAGCATCCTGCGTCCGAGGTCTTGGAGACCCAGGTGACTTCACCACGAATGGGATTGAGCCATATTTAGCCATCATTCCATTCATGAAATTTATGGAAATTTATGGTCATGGTTTATCCCATAAACCATTATATAATTTAGAATGAGATGATGGCTAAATATGGCTAAATATGGCTGGTTTATGGATTTTATGGTCATCCCATCATTGCGGATTCCTTCGAATGGGCACGTTTTCCCCTATGAACGGATTGATGACTGACCCCAAATATGGGTTAATCTGATTCAACGTTTGACCATGGCACACGTGGGGCAACGCTTTGAAGCCAATAATGAGTCTCAAGAATAAACCATATTACTAATCAGGATCCTATTTGCAGTTAACTAAGTTAACTAAATCCATGGCCCATCCAAGTGATTTTCTAAAAACGAGACGAGCTCGCTGTCCTGCACATCGCAGTCACCATGGATTTGGCCTTGCCAAGTCGAGGCACTGCCAGCCATGGGGGATACACTGGTTTTTTCATGTTGTGTCTAATGATTTTCCTTGGTGTCATCTATCACAATTTCATAGAATTTCAACCTCAAAGTGGACGACAAAATCCGCATATCTCAAAACAAACATCCAAGATCATCCAAGTCCCAAACTCAGTGGCTCCCAATGGGTTTTCCCTCAACACAAAACGCTGAGGCCCCCAAACCACCGCAGAAGCTGCGACCTGCAAAATATCTTGGGGCCATGAGCATCGCACATCCCACAGGAAATCTCAATGTTAGTGAAGTTTATAATTTATAACTTATAGCGGTTCATATTATCTGATATGATGATGTGAATTCCTTGGTGAAAAAATAAGCAAAGCGCCAGATTCAGGACGAACCACTGAGCCACTTCCATTCCAAGGACATGCCCCTGAGCTTTGGGCGATCCGCGCCAATTCTTCCGCCTTTTGAGCCACGGACATGACGAGAAGCTGCTGAAAGGAGCAGACATTGGTTTCAACAAAGAAGTACAAACATGCACTGCATATCGCCATCATATCGCATATTGATGTGTAAACATACCGCAAACGCTGACAACAAGGTTCTCACTCTTTCTTTCTCTCTCTCTCTCTCTGCAAATATGGAGTTGGGACCTGTATAATTCCCATACTCCCATATAACAGTATATACTGTGCATATATATATATATATACATATGTCATGTATCATATGTATCAATCTATCTGTAGGTATCCATCTATGGATCCACCTCCACGCCGGCAGCCATGGTCGCTGATGGCCCTTGGTCGGAAAACGGCTCAAGGTGATCGACCACCTGAGTGCTGAGTCCGGCAGGGCAGGAGAAAGGTAAAATGGAAACTCAACAGGTGTGACACATGATGAGCGTTATAAATTAATGGAAACCATATGGAAACCATAAATTAATAAACACCCATCGTTAATATTGGATTTAACATCTTTTTCATGGACATGATTCATGAAATGATTTTACAACATCCAAAATGGACACCCGATGTCTCTTTTTTGTCAAGTTTGTTTAACTATGTTTTGTCAATGATTGAGACTATTCTGTTCTATGTGGGGGGGAGAGGAGGGATCATCTACAAGACTGGCTTTGAGGGCAGTGATTTTCCCCTCTCCAATCTACGGAATCTACGGTTGAAGGTGCAACTATATAGTAACACCCCAAAGTCAGCTGTATGCCTTGCCAAAACAAAAGAGGTGAGGTAAAACCGGTAAAACCATGGTCATTGCCATAGTCAACTTAGTCAAGCGCGAAGAAATCCAGAAATTCCTTTGGAGTTGTTACCGGCTCCAGCATACGGCCTGATGGTAGACCTGGTTCAGAACAGCTCTGGCAGCATACGACGCTTCCTGGGCCCAGATTTTTTCGCCAAGGTCTTCTGACATCGCCATGATCATACATGGTTGAAGGTGTGTGTATATATATATATATTGTTATATTTATATCTATTAAATTATATTAATACGAGCCACCGAACATGGGAAAACACACAACAGCAACATGTGAATACCCATGAAGACCCATGGACACCCACATCGTTGATGCTAAAAACTCGAGATAACTCGAGCTACACATTTCCAAAAGAAAATATCGAGGCAGTGATTCATTGAAATTATATAGATATATTAGGTGAATTCGATATATGATATATGATATGATACACACACACATATATATATATAAACAAATTATTATTATGATTATGATGATGATTATTATTATTAGCACTATTATGACATTACTATTAGATAAAATTCAGGGGCCCCTAATCAAATTCATTGGGTTGAACATGTGTCGCCCGGCCAACAGATTGCCTGACGGCGTCGTCTCTGCTCGCTTCGCCACAACCTTCTGAGGGCACGGCTAAGCTGCAAGCTGAGGCTTAGATTCAAGGGGGCAGCAAATTTCATCATGGAATCCCAAACTTTCTGCATCTAAGAAGTGACATGAAGTGATACTATGGTGTCTGTTTGGGGAAGCTTCTGAACTTCTAGTTTCCATCAAATTTCAGGAAGATGCTTGCCGAACCTCAGGCAACAACACCTCAGTCTTGAAAATGGGACGTTTACACAGTATACATATCGCATACGAACTTGCAAACAGTGAGCTCAAAGATGTTGTTGTACCATTCTCACAACTACCGTAGATACATAGTAATATTAATAACACCCCAACAATAAAGAAATAAATTACTTTGCGATGTAATAAGGCAATGTATTGTGTATATATATATATATATGTATATAAGATGTGCATATGATGTTACATTGCTATATCAATATTTGATCATCAATATCGAAAAAAATATATTATATGTTATCATATTACTGTATCAATATATTCAATATCTGGTTGGTGGTTTCAACCTACCCCTCTGAAAAATATGAGTTCGTTAGTTGGGATGATGACATTCCCATCAGAATGGAAAGTAATAAAAGCCATCTTCCAAACCACCAACCAGATATCCATGATCCCCTGGTGCTTGCTTTTTGTCGGCTTCTGAGGAGGCCAACTGGCTCAAGAAGTCCTGACGCGGTTCTGGAAAACCCATGCTTATGTTGTGGATTACCCATGCAACATGGGATTTCACCATGGATTTCATGGGTTTGTCTATGGAATTTAGGGAGGTTTCATGGAATTGCATGGGGGTTAATAGGATGTACTATGATTATCTATGATGCAATGGCATAGACTGTATATGATAGTTATCCTTTGGCAAGTTAACATAACTATAGAAAATTGATTAACATGTCCCATTGAGTTCGATGATTTACCTATGAAACATGGCGATTTTCAATAGCACACGGTATGTTGAGACTCATCATCCAACATAGGGATAAAAAAACAATCCCAACAAAATCCACCCGCAATTTCACAAAAGAGGGGCCATGCCACATGGTGCGCGGTGTAATCCCCAAGATGAATCTCACGACTCACATCCCCCCGCAAAAGAACAAAAAAACACCCACGCACAGGGAACCAACACCAAACAAACCTCCTCAATTACTGTGGTTTCACACAATCATTAAAGGACCGGATAACCCCACATGTTACCAACTTCTTTAGACTTAGACTGACCATAGAAGAGCAAGAAGGGAAGAGGAAGTATAAGAGTGATGGAGCGGTGATGGTGGGTGAGTTTGTGTGTATGTATGTATGTTCATGTACAGTGAGTGAGTGAGAGTGTGAGTGAGTGATGTGAGTGTGGGGTGTGAGTGTGGTGTGTGTGAGTGAGGGATGTGAGAGTGAGTGAAGTGAGTGAAGTGAGTGAAGTGAAGTGAAGTGAAGTGAAGTGAAGTGAAGTGAGTGAAGTGATGAGCGAGTGAGTGGGTGAGCGAGCGAGCGAGCGAGTGAGTGAGTGAGTGACTGACTGACTGACTGACTGAGTGAGTGAGTGAGTGAGTGTGTGAGTGTGTGAGTGTGTGAGTGTGTGCGTGTGTGCGTGTGTGCGTGTGTGCGTGTGTGCGTGAGTGCGTGAGTGCGTGAGTGCGTGAGTGCGTGAGTGCGTGAGTGCGTGAGTGAGTGAGTGAGTGAGTGAGTCCGACCCCTTGGCAGTGCACATTGTCCCACGCCTGCCACGCAAAAGAGGCGGAGACCAAGGGACGCCAGGGCGTACATCCAACCCCTTGGCAGTGCACATTGTCCCACGCCTGCCACGCAAAAGAGGCGGAGACCAAGGGACGCCAGGGCGTACATCCAACCCCTTGGCAGTGCACATTGTCCCACGCCTGCCACGCAAAAGAGGCGGAGACCAAGGGACGCCAGGGCGTACCCGATGGCGGTGCACATTGTCCCACGCCTGCCACGCAAACGAGGCGGAGACCAAGGGACGCCAGGGCGTACATCCGACCCCTTGCAGTGCACATTGTCCCACGCCTGCCACGCAAAAGAGGCGGAGACCAAGGGACGCCAGGGCGTACATCCGACCCCTTGGCGGTGCACATTGTCCCACGCCTGCCACGCAAAAGAGGCGGAGACCAAGGGATGCCAGGGCGTACATCCGACCCCGTGGCAGTGCACACTGTCCCACGCCTGCCACGCAAAAGACGCGGAGACCAAGGGACGCCAGGGCGTACATCCGACCCCTTGGCAATGCACATTGTCCCACGCCTGCCACGCAAAAGACGCGGAGACCAAGGGACGCCAGGGCGTACATCCGACCCCTTGGCGGTGCACATTGTCCCACGCCTGCCACGCAAGTGAGGCGGAGACCAAGGGACGCCAGGGCGTACATCCGACCCCTTGGCAATGCGCATTGTCCCACGCCTGCCACGCAAAAGATGCGGAGACCAAGGGACGCCAGGGCGTACATCCGACCCCTTGGCAGTGCACATTGTCCCACGCCTGCCACGCAAAAGAAGCGGAGCCCGAGGGACGCCAGGGCGTACATCCGACCCCTTGGCAGTGCACATTGTCCCACGCCTGCCACCAAGGGAGCCAGGGGTTACATCCGACCCCTTGGCAAATGCCAGGTTTCCCACGCCCTGCCAGCAAAAAGACGCGGAGACCAAGGGACGCTCAGGGCGTACATTCCGACCCTTGGCGGTTTGACAACATTTGTCCAACGCCTGACACGCAAAAGAGGCGGAGACCAAGCGGACGCCAGGGCGTACATCCGAGCCCTTGGCAGCTGAAATTGTCCACGCAGGCCACGCAAAAGAAGCGGAGAGTGGCCAGCGGACCAAGGGACGCCAGGGCGTACATCCGGCCCCTTGGCAGTGCACATGGTCCCACGCCTGCCACGCAAACGAGGCGGAGACCAAGGGACGCCAGGGCGTACATCCGACCCCTTGGCGGTGCACATTGTCCCCCGCCTGCCACGCAAAAGAGGCGGAGACCAAGGGACGCCAGGGCGTACATCCGACCCCGTGGCAGTGCACATTGTCCCACGCCTGCCACGCAAAAGACGCGGAGACCAAGGGACGCCAGGGCGTACATCCGACCCCTTGGCAGTGCACATTGTCCCACGCCTGCCACGCAAAAGAGCGGAGACCAAGGGACGCCAGGGCGTACATCCGACCCCTTGGCAGTGCACATTGTCCCACGCCTGCCACGCAAAAGGCGGAGACCAAGGGACGCCAGGGCGTACATCCGACCCCTTGGCAGTGCACATTGTCCCACGCCTGCCACGCAAAAGAGGCGGAGACCAAGGGACGCCAGGGCGTACATCCGACCCCTTGGCAATGCACATTGTCCCACGCCTGCCACGCAAAAGACGCGGAGACCAAGGGACGCCAGGGCGTACTTAGATGGGCTGTGGGGTTACTAACTGGTTAAGTGAGTTAGGTTGAAAATTAAGATGAATACTAACTAGTTAGAATGGCAATTATATACAATTAGTTAAGTAATTAGTAACTGGTTAGCTAACTAGTTACTAATTGTTTAGTTGTGCTTATTTTCATGAATATTTCCATAGATATACACTTATATCATATGTAAATATACATGCACATCCCAGAATGGCTACTGTCTTTCTGACATGTGACCAGCAAAAAAGGTTTGAGCCATCAAAGGTTTCTGTTGATATTTGCGGTCAACATCAGCTTGAGCAGTGTATATCACACTATATGTTCGCAAGATACATATGCCTGAGCCTTCAGGCTTTTGAGGTTGGACATCTTTCAAACATAGAAATCTTTGAGCTACTATAGGTTTCTTGCCACACAAGAGGTTCCAAATACATTGTGTCTTTCTGCACAGATATTACTGCCACAGTTTTTCACCTAAAGCTTCACGGAGTCAAAGTTGTGATCTTCTGCTGGCCTTTGGCAGAAGTCACTGCAACCGTAAGTCTTGCAAGGGCACAGCTTGATGGCTCCTTCTGTCTTCACATTCGGCAAAGGTTTCAGCCATCTTCTGCAAGTGCAATATTTTTAGCACAGCCACATCATCTCCAAGGTTGTTGGTCAAAAAGCAAAGGATTTCACCACAACCAAATGTGCTGCCACAATGGCTTCAAGTAGACAAAGTCACCACGAGAGCACAAGCCAGGTTTACTCCTGGAATGATTGCTGCTGCTCACATTATTCCAGCTGTGCCAAATTTCTGCGGCCAAAGGAAACAATCTCCTGGGCAAGGCTTTGGTTTGCAACAAGGATGGCTCAATTGCAAACACCTGAGGATCTGAAAGCCTTTCCAACTCCAGGGTCAAAAGAGTAAACAGAATGTTCGAAACTGCTCAAGTTTTGAATCAAAGTGGCAATTCTTCTGCAGCATCTGCTGGTTAGTTTGGAGTCTCAAAGCTCCTGCAGAGGCATTGCTTGCTTTCTCATCCAGCGCATTCTGCTAACTGCTTCTCAAAGCTGCAGGGAAAGTTCTTAGCCAGCTTCAGCAGCATGGAAGAAGACAAAGTATCAATCTTATGCTCCATGGCTTCTAAGAGCTTAGGAAGAGCCAAAGCATTGGGCCTTATTTCCTGTAAGCCCTCCAAATCATCCACTTCTTTCAGCACATTTTCAGTGCCCCAGCTAGCCATGGCTGCCAAGGTTTCAAAGCCCAAAGGGAAAAGAAAGAGTGACAGTCATATGAGTGTCAATACATGGCGCAAATGCCTTGGTCTTTTCCCCAGCTCAGCTGTGATTAGGAATGATCATCCATGGTCTTCATCTTGTTCACCACATGGTTCAATTGGTGAAGCATGCTGTTCAAAGTATCCACCATGCTCCCCTAATAGCTCACCACGGTGGACGTATCATTGAGGATGTCCTTGAGGCAGGAAAGCACCTTGCATAGGAGGAACATACCAACCTCCAAAAGCATAACCAGAGTGCCAGTGGTGACCTGGGGCACTATGTCCTGGGAGCCATTGGGAGCCAAAGTCCTGGACACTTGCATAGCTAACCTGAAGCCCCAGTGTGGAATATCTGGTGCCAAAGCCTGACAAGGCTAATCTACATGAAGCTGCTACATGTTCTTTAATCCAAATATGTGATCAGCATGTTGGGGCCCAGGACCCTAGCAAAGCATGAGCCCTTGAGGCTACTGAGACATGAGCCCTGGAGGCTAATGAGACATCAGCCCTGCAGGCTTCTGAGACGTGAGCCATTCAGGCTAACGTAAGACTGATTCCCATTTTGAAAAAATATCAAAAAACGGTGGACATGTGCGACTCCAAGTGAAAAAACCAGCTTGACCAGGAAAGTTGGCAATGCAAAGAGTTTGCGCTTCAATTCAGCTAGCTGAATTGAAACGCAAACTCTTGGCATTTCAATTCAGCTAGCTGAATTGAAACGCAAACTCTTGGCATTTCAATTCAGCTAGCTCTTGTCGTTTCCATTGGGGAGACCAGGTACCACTGCTGCTCAGCGCGCAAGTCCTCCAGCTTTGGATCCTCACTCCTCTTGCTGGGACTCCTGTGGAGACTCCTCTAGCCAACCATGGTTGGACTCAGCGGGCCACTGGAGGCCATTCCTTTTGCGGAGACTCCTGCGGCCAGTGCTGTTGCGACTCCTCTGGTCAGTCCCGCAGGGAAAAGCAATAAATAAACAATATCTTCGTTTTAAAAAAGTTTGTAGAAATAGTTTGCAAAACCTGTTTCTCTTCCACATTGGTGTCATCTGCAAGTGTTGTGCTCCCATGTGCATAGGCAGAGGCAGCTACTTCCTTCTGAGCCTGCTCTGCCAAGAGGTCTTTCCAATCAGGTCCAGGGGCTGATAGGACACAGCCACTCTCCACCCACTGCTCAAAGGAATCTTCAGCAGGTGGCTCATCTTGAAGATTTTCCCCAGGCAGGTCAGGTGCTGAGAAGTCAGCTTGATATTCTGCGAAGGCAGCTTGGTTCTGGAGCAGTGCCAGAGCAGAGTTGCTTTGCACACAAATCAAAGCAATTAAAAACTTTAGATTCTGATTGGATTGAGCCACAGGGCGCCAATGACTTGGACTACCTCATAGACTAGGATTGGATTTGGTCCAGGCTTGTGTAAATACTAAATACATGGTATGTTTCAATGCCATCAGCCTGCCTGGCTCATGTTGCTCTTGCACACATTAGCCCTGGTGGCTCCATCAAACACATTGGCCTGCCATGCAGTGCCATCCTGCTGCACAGTGGCCTCTTCCAAGGCCCTCAGTGAAACTTCAAGCATGCCTTTTCATGGTGCTAGGCTGTGCCTTGAGATGCACATTGAAAAAAAGGACACATGCAGTGTGTGTGTGTGTGTACCATCTGAACAGATGTAAAACTTCTTATTGGTTTTCACTAGTTTGCAGGGGGCGACAGGGTCGCTGCATGGCTGTCGCCAACGAAGCTCCATGCAGTTGACTAGGATATGGAGTCTGATCAACTCCACGTACCTGCCTTTTTTCGGACATAGCAAGGGGCCAAGCTAAGAACCCCAACCACAATATTATACAATTTGCTGCACTGTTGTCGCAATCTGGAATCAATTTTGACATTTACATGCATCAGAACTTTCCTCAGATTTTCGCCGAAAACCACATCGCCGACAGTATTATGTTTTTTGATCTATTTTCGCCGAGATCATGTCGCCGACGAACTGTGGGTCCTTTTGGGAAACAATCGCCGAAACATTATTGTGGATTCTCAACATGCTGGTTAAAACTCTATGGAATCTGGTTATGACTTCGTTTGACAATATTGGATGCCCTACATCGTTTTCGTGAAGTACCTCATTTGGCTCCTTTACTAATCTAACGATCTAGGCTGGTTTGCATGTTTCAGGATTCAGTTCCTGCCGGATCATATAATGATCCATTCTTGTCTAGTGTGATTTCCATGGTGGCTCCGACATGGTGCCATGGAGCCGTTGGAGGCAACCCTCTTCAGGGTGAGTGTTGACAGACTTGAATTCGGAATTCACACATTTTAACTTAGTAATTCGTCTAAGTAAAGGGCAACAATCAGCCTTGCGGTTTTCCAGCCTTTTGAGATTGTCCCGCTGATCTTGTGGTCCCAGGGATTTCTCGCCGATGCGTTTCTTCAACTGCGAAGCTGTTCTGAATTGCCAGAAACTTTTTTATCACTGCAGCTTGCGCATTTGAAGTTCAACATGACATTCACGACAAAAGGCAACAGGCATGTCCTTTTCCTGCAGGTGTGGTCTCTTTGGTTTTTGGTGAGGTGAAACATTTTGTGCATCTAATTCGTTGGAATTTGGAAGCTGTCTTATGCCATTGCGGCACGACTTGACCACGGTCCCGGTGCAGGGAATAATTGCACGACATCTTAGGCAGTTAGGGACTGAATCCTGTATGTGATTGTTCACTTTTGTTTTCATCTACTGAAGCGATGCATCCGTGGAACCCTCCGCCAACGTCATGGCCTGTTCCACCGCAGCCTACGAACGCACCTCCGACGTGGCCGCAATCATCACAAAACGTACATCTATTTGGACATTCTTCAGCCTTGCATCCTACATGGTCTTCTTCAGCTTCGATCATGCCGTCTACATCATCCCCAACATCGTTGCCGTTTACCTCATTGTCTCCGGCTCCTCATGCAGTACCAGGCCCACAGCTCGTACCCACCATGCCTGCACCTTTGGCCTCCGAACCTACAATGGCGCACACCGCTCCTTCGACTTTCCCATCTCCTTCGGCACCCACCGCTCCACCTGCCTGGCCTTCTCCACCGACTTCATCTCCTACGTCGACTCCACCACCTACATCGACTATGCCACCGACTCCTTTGCCAAGTTCCCCTTACCCATCCCATCACATTCAACCTCCATTACAAACGAACGCATTGATGGTTTCTCCTGATGAACATCTTCCACGGCCTCCTGCAGTTAAGGCAGCTCCCAGACCTCGCTCTGACAAAAGAATGGATCGACTGCGCAGGCCAGCTTCAAAAGCCCCTTCTTCGACTACACCACCAGCACCCACGGCAGCACCGACGTCATCCGTGCCACCCGAACTGGTTGCATTGGGTTCCACTACACAACAACTTGCGGAATCGGTTCGACTTATCCAAGCTCAGCAACAGGTGATCATGGATACTCAACGGGCCCAAGAACAACGTCAGCTACTTCTCCAACACGATGGACCTCCACCGAACCCTATTCCACCCATACCACCACCTACGCCCGTGCCACCACTGACAGCCACACCTCCACCCGCACCGAAAGCCAGACCTACCGAACCTGACGTTCCGGACCTTCGCATTATTCAAGCCCCAGCCATTGCTCCTCCTCACCCAGTACCAGTTCCATCATCCCCAACACGCCGACCAAGATCTAGGACTCCACGACCACGTTCCCATCGACCTTCGGTACATTCTCATCGCCATCGCTATTCTCCTCCACGAGCAGAGCGACCTCGTTCTCCTCTCCCTCGTCATCGATCATCCACAAAACCTGACAAGGGCCGCAGAACCCCATCTCCATACAGACGACGCTCCCCACCACGACGCCGCTCTCCCGTGGTCCCTCGACGTCATCGATCTCGCCCACGTCCACGTTCCGCGACACCACGTCACAGATCCAGAGGCCGTGAAGTCATACTCCGACCAGCTGCGAACCCATCGAATCCGAACTACATCCCCACTCCCGATGCTGATGACACCTGGGGTACATGGAACGACAGTCACTACACCGACAACGACCATCACCACAATCCTCGACCCAATTCTCCTGCCAATCCACCACCAACGGAACCACCAACCAACCCACCAACCCACACTTCAGCACCACTCGGCGCGGTGTCCTTCCGAGTTCCGGACGGCGACAGTGAAAATTCTGAGTTTACAGATACAATTTCGCTCACCAAGTTTGACACGAATGACATCGACCTCGATGAAATGGTGGCGGCGGCCAATGACCCCCATAGGGTCCGTTGCCTGACTGAACTTGACCCCGATCATGTTGTTCCTCTACGCCGATCATTGACCCCGGCTATCTCGCAGCTCTTCAACCAGTTTGTGGACGCGATGTTCGAAAGGTTGGCTCAACCATACCGCACCGTCAACAACCATCGTATTTACATCAAAGCAAGTCAAGCCACCGTCAGGAATATTGCCAGGGCCTTTGCACAATCCGACTTACTGGACATCGAACTCGCAAAGCAAACACAAGCCTTCTACATCGAGCCAGAGAACTTGCTGACCATCACGGTTCCCACAGGATTGAAGAAGAAACCAATCTACCGTGGCGAACACATGGGCACCTACCTGATCTACCACAAAACGAGTTGGGAATCAGTTGCCAAAATTCTTGCGGAAGACTGCATCCGCCCGGCAACTTGGACAAAAAACGAAGCCGGCATACCGACTCAATACCCATGTTACGGGTTTTTCGGAATGTCCTCTGAGATCGCAGACATCGACAACCTACCCGGCTATGCTGTCAAGATCTGTACCTGTCAGCTCTACAAAATAGGAAAAGGACAAAACCCATCAGGCCTAATGGCCATATGCCGCTCACCCAAATGCATCCGTGCCCTAGCCGGAGGAAATGACCAAATCCAACGCTTGTGCAACCTTGCGGGCATCGCCAAGGGCAAAGACAATGCAACGGCTATGAACTCAAGCGCCGCATCTATATGCTACGTTGCCTCCACTCACACGGTTTTCCCGGGCTTGATCACACCCCAGACTACAGAGACCAATGCACCTTCGGAACCTCCTGATGATTCTGCACGTCCAGTACGACCTGACCCTTCTGCCGACGCCCCTGAACCTTCGGAGCCGGCCCCGGACGACTCTCGCGACACACCGAGCCACCGCGAAACCGCTGGCTCTGGCTCTCGGGACTATGCTCGCCGATCTTGGCACGACAATGCTTCTTGGGACAATTCAACCTACAGCCACCGAGATCGCCGATCCTCATACCAGGAAGACCACTCTCGTGACCAGCACCATGAAGGCCGACCTCGTTCTCGACATTCGACCCACTACTCTCGATCTCGTTGGTGAACTATTTACCCTTGAGAAGCACCGGAACTAGTATCGACTATTCTACGTCAGCGATACAGTGAGCCTAGTGGCCCCGCCCGATCATTTTGGAGTAACAATGCTTCTCCCGACATTCGGTATTGCCGCCACTTCTTCCTCAAAAGGTTTGTGAATCGCTGCATGCTCATATTGTTGATCCTTTCGCCGATTCGTTTTCACTTCACGTCTCACACACTGGGACCACGTATTATGTCTCACACTTTTTCAATTTCACATTACCTTTGTCTCACCTCGACATTTTCCGCAGCTTTCCTTCGGCAGTTCGAGCGCATTTTGCTCTATTATCTCGTGACCCTCGCTACATCATGGCGTCCCAAGACCTGATCTCCCAATACAGCGCGGATGTGAATGGAATTCCTCCTTCCCAGCCGGATCGCTCGCGCACACCACCTCGTCATCAACATGGATGGCACCAAGCAGTACCGGCGTTCCGTGGCCCGATGCACTATGCCATGACGACCCATCGACCCTTTTGGAACCCTTCCGGAATACCGCCTCCGCCACCTACGTCTCCATCGTTCCCAACACGCCCACCATGGACTTCACCTACGGCACCTTTCCCGCCCACGCCGCCTCCGAGCTCACAGACACTTCCCAACCACGCCAACCTTGCACCTCAACGTCACCCTTTTACACCGAGATCACCGAGACCTATGTCATCCCCAGGAGCAAGTTCCTCTGTCAACGACGGATATACATGCAGACCAATTGAAATCCCGCCAGTGGAGAACTGGAAACCGGATGTCGACTTCCACGACTCCAACAAAATCAATGGTTTGGACTTCCCTTCCAGAATCCGACAGAGCAGATTCTCCAGCTACAAAGACATTGAAGGGATGGATCCTTTACAAGTCCCACTCTGGAAGTTCTTGTACCAGGGCTTACACAATACTTGGCTTCGTCGAGTTGCATACGGAAGAGAAACCTTCGTCCTTCCTTTTGACAACATAGGCACTACAGTATTTGTGGCCGAATTGGTATCCCAACTACGCACCCGCAATGTGGATTTGGACAAACTTGCTACCTTTCGAGCTCGCTCAGCAGGCCAATGTCTCAACCAGAAGGAAGCAACTCAAAACATGGCCAAAGACGTTGCTCAACTTCTCCAATCTTGGCTCCAGGCTCAACCCTCCGTGACGTAGCGAGCCAACAACGCATTCTTGAACTGGAGGCAGA